CTGCTACCAGTAACTTTTTGAGACTGGAGTAGCAGTGTTGCGCGACGAACAGAACTAAGAGCGACTGACGACGACGAAGGCGACGACCGATTATCGGGGCCTCGATGACTGAACCTTGATACTTTTGTAGCGAAACGAAATCGCGTGTAACTTTCCCTTTTTACTCACCTCAAATTTGAGTTATTAAACCTATATGATACAATCAATATAACAATATACAACAGTAAAATAGCGATAACATTATAAAGCTACATACAATATCTAGATCTAAACATACATACATAATAGTCAATAACTGTCCTGTAATGTCTCCACAGCCTAATTCCTTTATCAACTAATCTCACCCGACTCTATATAAAATATTTCAATAACAATCATTGGTACCCTAAACAACATCTTCCCTCCCACGTATGCCTACTGATACCCCGCTCTCACCTAAAGCGTTGCCTAACTCCTGGTGGCAGCCCCCAACTAACCGCTCAACCCAGGGGGAGGGACTCATCAAAAAAATAAGATAAAGTAAAAGGGGGAAGGGGTTTATCAAAATAAAATGAAGTAAAATAAAATAAATAAAAAAAGGGGCAAAGGTTGTGAGAGCTGAGGGCGGGGGAGCCACAAACTCACCCCGTCACTCGGCTCGAGTGAAGCGGAGAAAATGGGCTGTGTGTCCAAAAGCCAAGTTTATGTAGAGAGAGGATTTGGGCGTGGAGGAGTAGGAGAGATGCAGCTGACTCCGAGGGGGCTGTAAACCACGAATACCCTGGTATGTTATTTTTGACTTAAGTGTAGTGAGCCTGTGATCATGCCGAACACAGTAATAATTTTTATGTTGTAAAGTGCGGCATCGCTTATGTGCGCAACTAGCCTGTTATTTTTGTTTTTCGGCGCAATAAGTTTAAAAGCGAGCCGAGTGCGACAATAATATTCTTTGTTATGAGGTCTAGCATATCACATATGCGTGACCTCATTAATCATAAAATCCTTCCTACTCCTTTTGTTTTTGTTTTTAAAGTTCCCATGCGATGTTTGATCAGTAGAATAAGGAAATGGTACGAAATGGGAATAGCATTCCCATTTACAATAGTTTGAGTAATGGATTGCTGCTCAGGAATCGGCAAGGACTGATCAGTTACGAAATTGAGTAGCTCTTTTTCAGCGGTTCCCACAAGCTGTTGACAGGGTGCATGTGAGGAAGAAAGAGACAAAACGATGTGTGCAGATTTCAGTGGTATCGTCATTGTGCAAGAACTGTGCTTAAATTAGCAGTTCAAAAGTGTGCAAAACCGAAACTCACCTATCACGAAGACGATGCACCATGTAGCGGCACGCTGAACAATATGGGCAGCACTGGACGCATTCAATGACGAATAACAAGCTGAGCCGACCGTTCAGCTAAGATATAAAGTCCTTGAATGACCAAAGACAATTGCGTGCCTCTTCTTTTTGGGAAGAGTCCCGCCCATGGTCTGCCCCTCCCCCCTCGGCCAAGGGAATCTTACTAACAAGCATTAATAGAATGATGTTGACCTTCCGCGGTTGCGGAGACGAGCGAGAGTCAACACAGGTCAGCGATGGCTTGTGTTTTCCCCATTCGACACAATAACAATTGCTGCTTGCAGCGACAGCCAGTATGAGCATGCGTTTTTTGCACAGCTTTTTCCACATATGTTTTCTGAACAGCTTCCTGCCATCCACGTTGCCACAGATTATTACAGGAACTTCCAATAAACATGATCTTGGGCCACGCTCAGAAAATTTTAGCGCTTTAGCTGTTTTAATTGCTGAGTCACTTCAAACTTCGCGCGTCCACATCTGGGAGAGAAACGTGAATGTTGGCCCCGGGTAAGCACGATACCCACGTACGGGCCCGCCAAAATTTTTTCCGGGTGAGTCGCTAACTCGAGAATCTGAGAAGCTAGAAGGCTGAAATCTTAAGGGGGTGTTTCCCGTCCAAGTGGGTGTTAGTGAGTTCATACCCAGTTCCCGGGCATGCGTGGTACCTGCGTACGGTCCCGCCAAAATTTTTTCCGGGTAAGTCACTAACTGAAGAGTTTAAAAGGCTAGAAGACTGTAATTTTAAGAGAATATTCCTCATCCACTTAGGTATCACTGAGCTCATACCCAGTCCCGGAGTTGAAATTTTAAGGAGATGTTTCCTGACAGTTCTAGCGGCCAGTCTTAATTTGTTTAGCTAGAAGCATGTGCCGAAAAAACCAGTGCCGGTAGCAACAAAAACTGTGGGGAGCTATGCAAAAAACACATCTTCGTACGGGCTGCCCGTGCGTTAGCCACTTATTTGATGATGATGATGATGATGATGTATGTATCTGGTTGTGTGACTAAACGGTCCACTAGCGGCTTTTGGAGCGGAGATTATATCGATGTGGCCGTTCCTGTCTATCACCGATAAGTGGGGAGTCAACAAAAGCAAACTGGTCATTAGAATATCCAGCAGTATTAACCAACTCTTCCACTCCTGCTTCGCGTAAATTTTCTTTTTCCTCTTCGGGAATTGCTGGTAGTGAGACTACGGGACCTTCCAGGATTATGAACTTTTTAACCTGATTCAGATGTATCTTGAATGGATTTGCATGGAACTGTACAGCTAACAATAACTGCATTAGACTCATCTATAACTCTGAATATGCCTGCCCGAAACAAAGCGGACTTTTTAGAGTCATTTAGTTACAGATGTTTACACAAAAAGATCCCGATAGGGCCTTTTATTATTTTATATTTTAAAACATATTCTCCTACTTGCTAATTTCTACTTTTTTTAAGCGTTTTGAGGTCTCATTCTTGAAACAGCGTCAGGACTCCATGTCTTTTACACCTCCGTCTAGAGGAAGGTCCACCCTAATCGTGTGTTCTTTTCTGACACTGTGCCTTTCTGACTAGTTCAACTTCCGCGAGCTGCATCATCACAGATACCTTTACACCCGTAAAAAAAGAGCACAAAAATGATTTTCACGCGCTCCTGCCCAAACACAGCCTGCTGCTATGTTCAAAAAAATTCAATCCTCTAGTCGCCGAAATTGCAAAATTGTCTGTGTCAAATTTCTAGTGTCGGTACGTGAGATGTAGAGAGGCACGAAGGCTCAGTTTACTTTCTCACAAGTACATCAGTGGCCAGCAAAATGCATCATAAATTACGGTTCTCTAAAGTTCTCTAATCAGTCTAACTCTCGTATTGGCTTGGCGACAATTCGAACTATGACGTTATGTAGATGAAACCGAAGGGTGTTTGGAAGCTGAATTTAAACTTTTAGGGCCACATATAAGCAAGAAGCATCTTCGCAAAAATTCACTCGCCTGGTTCCCGAATCATTCTCTCGCTAAAACATCTTTCACGTGTCCACATCTGTAGAACTTAACATTTATTTTATGCCTATGATCCTGTTATAAAGATGTAAACAAAATCGTCAATAGTGTGTCTCGGGACCGAAAAACCCAGACAAACGTTATGCGAACATTGATACACATATAACACAGACAATCCCTGACAATAGGCGTTTCTTATGTTGTATGAGTAAAAAAAAATCATTAAAAAACCAAACTAAGTAGTAATTTACATACAAATAAGTGATGCAAAACTCAAAGAAATTTTTGTACGCATATTCGAAGCATACGTTGTGCCATTCTTCCAAGAAAATGCTGTGGTAGTTTTACTGCTCGCACACACATGAAATTTTAATAAAACCCGTAAAAATTACTGGATTACAAGACTCCGAAGAATTTTTCAGGATGACTGGAAATTCGCA